ATATATATATGGCTAACATCCAACTTCCAAATTTGAAGATATGAAGGTAAGTCAATTACACACTGAGAAAGCAGTGTTGTAATTTATTTTTTTAAAATTATCTTTATGAGCATATGCTTACAATACATAATGCTTACCTTTACTTTGTGGAATCTGTACATATGCATAATACATTTCATTTCTTTTTTCATTTGCTACCACTTCCATCCCTCCCTGCTCCTTCCAATTTTTGGTTGCCTTCCTATTTGTGAAAGCTCTATTTACATATTTCCTTCATTTTTTTTCAATCCACTTAACCTTCCTTCCCTATATTTCTTATTTCCTTTCCCATTTTAAAAATGTCTTCCCACTTTCTACTGTCCATCTTTCATTTGGTTATTTTTGGTTACATTTTGGGATTCTCGTGTGTAAGAAAAACCATGGCATATTTAAGCTTGTACGTCTGATTTATTTCAATCAACATTACATATTTGTGGATATAGAGCCATCTTCATAGCATGATATTAATAGTGCTAGAGAGAGAGAGAGAGGAGGAGGAGAAAGAGAAAGAGATTGAGCGTGGTGACTAAGAGTAGGAGGAAATGAAATTGGACAGATTATCCACAGGCTTATAGAAGAAATCATGCCTTTATTTTGAACTCATTTACAGTTGCCTTGAGTGTTATCCAAAACGGAAAAACCACAGCAAAATGCACAGTTCAATGAAAAAAAGAAATATCACATAAATACTCTTCAACCTGTGGATGCAGAGAGCTTTGCAGCAGGTTGGAAGAGCTCTTAATGATGCCGGCAGGCAAAACTATGTTGGGATGGAAGGTGGGAATTTAAAAGGTCATGTGGTTGAGAATTTAAGAGCAGAGAACAGGCAGATAAAGTAGGGGAAGATCAGAGGGCGGTAGGATTAGCTGTTAAAACGCATGAGCTTGACTTTCTCCTGGTGAATAAATGAGAGACTAAAAAAGGCGACAGCACTGGAAATGGAGATCAAGCAGTTCATCAGATAGACTGTGTGGGAACCAATAGAAAATTGTTGGTGAAAATTAGGATAAGATAATTCATTATGACCAATTTGGTGCTCCTAACACATGTCTAAAACAATTAGGCAGAGATTTTCTAACAGTATTTGTTCAGTAATATTTATTCAATTTTCTCATATTTTATATATATATATTTTTTTTTTTTTTTCTCATATTTTATATATATATATTTTTTTTTTTCTTTCTGGTACTGGGGATCAAACTCAGGACCTTGCACTTGTGAGGCAGTAGTAAATCCCCAGCTCACATTCTATGATATATTAAACATAAAATAGAAGTCTTCAAATTTATCTTAATTACCTAAAAATTCAAATGACATAATATTTAAAATGGAATAGTTATAGGAAAGGCTACAGTAGTTCTTTGGAAGTCATTGTCACAGATAAATTTATTGCTTTTTTCCCCCACTTCATAATTTGTGAGATAAATGCAATAATATCTCATCAGAACAACAAAGTACTACAAATGTTACATGAATATTTTTCTACTATCACAGAATATAGTCTGATGTCCAAAATGCAATTATTCAGATTGTAATAAGGACAAATGCCTCACAGCAGTTTTTACTGTATATATTCCAGTGCACCTTTTCTTTATTTTTTTTAGCCTAGCTCTAAAACAGTTATCCTATAAATCTCAGATGCCATCATCTTTAGAAGCCACTTCATCAAAGACATATTTCACTTCCACAAAATCTTAAAGTATCTCCCTGCGTTATAAAATTCCATAAATTTGTAAGTGAGGAAAATGGCAACAAAGAGCAAGACAAAGATGATTACTTACGAACTGGTAATGTTTGGAAGATTTCTATCTTGCTGTAGTCCCCTTGACCTTTCCCATTCACAGCTGCAACCCTGATTTCATAAGTTGTATTTGGTTCCAGGTTGCTCAAAACAACAATTGCTAGAAAAAGACAAAAATGTACACAAATCCACATTTAATGCATTCTACTCAGAAAAATAAACTTATAATGATGTTGGGTGAATAATTTCATAGGAAAGCATTCCACGAAGCAAGGAAAGTCTTTTAAGAGCGCATAAGTTTGGAATAGTCCTTTTCTGCACCTACAGTTTAGCTTCCTAAAGCAAGCAGTGACTTTCAAAGACAAACAACATTCTTTTATAATAGAAAATAAAATTTTTATTTAGTCTTATTAATATCTGAGAACAGCATTATATAAACAATCTTTTCTTGCATGTATTGCAAGTACTTCATATTCTTTAATTATTTCTATTTGTTTAAAGGTAACATGTAACTCAACATATAAAGTACTAATGTCCAGTACTGACATTTATTAAGTCATATCAGAGAACTGTCACAAAATGCAAACAATTGCAAAAGTGTTTCCTTTTTATACTATCTCCAATAATATCCAATTATTTTTAACATTATTTTATGTTCTCACCACTAGAATATTTATTGTAATTTTTTCTCAACTACACACTGTACCAGACCTGGATTCAATATAACACAAATAAGAAAAACCTGAGAAAGCACATGAAAATAAATGTGAGAAGTTTCTCCTGGGATATGCCAATTCCTTTAATGGACAGATAATTTTGGAATTAAATATTATTTAAAATAATATATTTTAAAATAGAATAGAATACTTCATCTTTAGGGCCGGGGATTTAGCTCAGCGATTCTTTGGCCTGCCTTGCAAGTGCAAGGAACTGAGTTCAATCCCCGGTACCAAAAAAAAAAAGAATACTACATCTTTACAAATACTTCATTTAGAGCTAACAAAATTCTACATTTGTTCCTATTGTCTATCAGCTTCGGCTAAACATCAAAAATTTAAGTAGTGGAAATGCCAGTGTCTTAATAGCAATCAACAGAACATCTTGTCTCCTTTACACAATACCGCTAATCAACACAGATAAACACTGACCGATTCATGTCAGAAGAAATAATTCACCAATAATATCAGATTATAAATGATCAAAAACAGTTACAATACTAATAATTTACAAGAATTATAATTCAAGATGATTTATGTTTTAAAATTGCAATATATAGTATTAATGTATCATTTACAATATTTACATTATAATATGTTCACTAGATTTTTAAATTTTTGCAGTGTACAAAGACAATGAACTTGTTCTTTTTTTTCCCATGAAGATTATTGGTACATTTAAGGTAAACAATACAGTTACACTCATCATTGGGGTCTTGTACCTTTACATGACTTATCTTGGTTCTTATTTTTCCCCATTCACCTGCACTTCCTTCATCCCCCCACCTTTCCCGATTTTCCATTTTTTCCTTTTCTAATATTTTTCTTCTCCCTTATTTCCTTTTCCCTACCCTTCCCACTTCCCCTACTCCTAGACCTTTTCCTCCTATTTCACATTATCAATTATACCATTTGAATCTTATTTACACTCTTAGTTTTTCACACCAGAGAAATTATTCAGTATTTACTCATGTGTGTCCTATTTATTTCACTTAAGGGTATGGCCTCAATATGCATTCATTAAGCTATAAATGTTTCTAATTTCTCATTCTTTATGGCTGAGTAGTACTCCATTTTATAGAAAAACCACATCATCTTTTTTTATCCAGTATTCTGTTTATGGCCTATTGGGCTATTTCCAGGTTTTAGCTATTATAAATATGTGTGTGCATATTTCACTGTGGAAAGATACCCAGCAGAGGGATAGCTGGGTCAAATGGGACTTCTAATCCCAGTTTTTGAGGTTTCTCCATATTGATTTCCATAGTGGTTGCACTAGTCTGCACTCCCACCAACAATGGAGAAGGATTTGTTATTGGTTGATTTGATAGCAGCCAGACAATTAAATGTTTTGCTAACTTCTTTTCTTCTACTCTTTTTCCTAATATTCATTATCATAATAACTTTTTTTATCCATAATTATTCAATTACTACTCAGTTATTAAACTATAAAAAAGAAAAAAATAAGTTATGTGATGTACTATACAGATAGATATTTTCTTTTTCAAGGTTATGGAAAGAAAATTATATGTATTATTTAAAACACCAGATAAATATGAATGACAAAAATTCATAGTCCAGATCAACCAGAGCATATGTTTTGCTTTTTCATTTTACAAAAAATTTACATATGATGGATGGTATACGATATTTTGATGCATGTTTAACTTCTCAAATATTTATCATTTCTCTGTGGTCAAAACATTAAAATATTTCTTTCTATCTTCAAGCATACTTTTCTTTTCTCATAGAGATATTCTGAAATCAGCAAAATGATGAATTTCCAATTTAAAAAAACTTACTTCTATATTTCTGGATTTCTTTACCTTATAAGAAAACTGAACATACTTTTGAGAGTAAACATTCTTGCCCAGGCCCCAGATTATCACACAAGACATCAAATTAAAGGAATGCAATTGAGGGGGAAAAAAAATTAGTGTCAATATTCAATTGGTTAGAAGCTGCAAGCATAAATGGGAAAATCACAGACTGAATTTAATGACTTCTGATAGACTAAATCCTTGTAAGCTTTCCCAGGAATACGCAATGCTCATTTATGATCAGAAATCAATGAATATATAATGTCAGCCCCATAAAAAATATAGGGAGTTACAATGGAGAGAAGGTGCTTTCAGAGATGGATCAGATTAGACAGGTATGGAGAGGAGGGAACATAACTCAAGATGTAGTAGCTTCGATGTTAAGAAGTTGGAATCTCACAGCTCTCAATAGGGAAAGTTCCTGCCCAAGGTCACTGGAACAAGGAATTTAAGAGAGTTGAAAATTTATATTTTATCAATATAATAAATAAATAAATAAAAATAATATTATTAGCAAAACAAACTATCTTTGGTTCTTTGTAAGTGTGTTTACTCTGAGGCATGTAACAAACACAGGCCCATAGACAGTGTGATGTCATAGAACAGCCCAGGTTTAATGGGACAATTCTTTTCGCTAATGCATCACAACTTTACATAGTATAGGAATATTAGGGGAGAACTGTGATGACATTGGTACAATCACAGTCACCTCTGAAGTCCGACAGAGTAACGATGTAGGTTTTAGGCCCCCTCAAAGTAGCGATGGTGTTCCTTCACTTCTGACTGGGAGCCAACCAAATTGGTCTCTCAACTTTTAAGTAAAAGTCTTCATATTGAGCAGCATTGAAACAAAAGCATATACGTAAATTAAAAGTGAGTATAGGTAAAACTATTTCTGGTGAGGGAAATAATCACCATCACTAATAAACTATCTGTGCAAAGAGGAACCATTCTGATAGGCTGTGACATAATGCACAGCCTGGGTAGTACAAAAGTTGTGCACCTCTGAGTATATGTTTAATCACTAAATACTATGTAACAGATCAAAATTGCCCTAATAAAATTTGCTTATAAATATCAATCAAAACATACAGAAAATATGACACACAAGAATATATGAAAGATTACTATGGGTAATTTTGTTGTTGATGCGAACTTTGACATATACTAAAACGCACTCTCCATATTTGTTTTTTGTTGTTGTTGTTGTTGTTTTGTTTTTCCGGTAGAGAATCAAACCCAGGACCCTGTGCTTGCCAGGCAGGTGCGGCATCACTGAGTCACATCCCCAGCCCTACATATTTGTTATAATGGTGCTGCTGCAATCATCTTCTCCTCTCTCTCTCTCCCTCTCCCTCTCCCTCTCCCTCTTCTCTCTCTCTCTCTCTCTCTCTCTCTCTCTCTCTCTGTCTCTCTTTTCATTTTTTGAGAAAGGATCTCACAATGTAATTCAGGCTGGCCTTGGACTCACGTAGCTAAGCCTGGTCTTGAACTAACAGCAATCCTCTTGCCTCATTCCCTGTAGTTCTGGGATTACAGGCATGCACCACCATGCTACCCAAATGTTTCTTCAAGAGCATGTGTTAGACTGTAACATGGCTGTGTTGATAAGGATTGTAAAACTCATATTAAATTATTTTCTTCAAAATGATTTATAAAGAGATACAGTAGAAATTAAAGCATGCATTTTAATTGCAATTAAAATTCCACATAAAATATAAGTGAGGAGATAAGACTCTAGATGCAATCTTTTTATCTTTTTAGGTTAAAAACAGATAACAGAGCTATTGAAGTATTTGTGCATATTACATCAAAGGAAAAAAGAGTTTAGAATTTACATTAAAATTAAAAACAACCCACCCCAAAATAATTCTGTATTTTCCTTAAATGACATGCATATTTCTGGCAAAAGCTCTTTCTGGTCTGATGTCTGGTCAGAATTCCCCTTCCTATAATATTTGACAAGAGCTTTGAAAAGCTTTCAGGGGAACCTACTTCCTTAAATTACACTATGATCAACTCGAAGTGAATATGAATGTTTCTTCACATTTTTTTCTGTTCTGTAAGAATAGTCTGTGTCCTGAGTTTTGGATCATAGCAAACAGAGAGAGAAAAAGAGAGAGAGGAGAGGGGGAATCAAACAGTAAAAAATATGCGCTAAACTGTTGTTATAATGCTAGGCTTACAGGTTAGTTTCAAAATCATAGGAGAGGTGCATGAAAGTAAATCTATTGATGCAAGTTTTATAGTTTATGAACAAGAAATGGGTTTGTTTTTGAATTGTGACTATAAAGGTTTTGGTACAATAACCCTTATTATGAGGCTTATTAACATTCTGTGAAAAAGAAAGAACTCCATAAATGGACCAATTTAAAGAGAGGAAAAGGAATAGACTCTGGAGAGGCAAAGCCTGGATCTGTTAATTTGGTCATATATACATTAAATCATCCTGAATTTACTGAACACCCACGGTGTATCCTGAAAGAAAAATACTACTTGAAAAACACAAGGCTGTGTACTCTGTAATAGAATAGTACCTCAAATTATGAAGTCAGTAAATGGATGACTTTTTCCTCTTTACATGTGCCAATACAATAGAAAAACAGAACTACAAACTGAGGTGT